GACCTGAAAGTCAAGGGAGAGTGGCCCCAGAACAAATGTCAGGCACGAAATTAATATAATAATGCCACTTGGTGGCTAATGATTGAGCGATGGGACAAGCCATCCAAGTCTATTACCCTACAGTATCGAGCCCGACAAAAGTGTTGACAGCATTTAATGCCACCCATACGGGCATTAAATGCATAGCAGGTTATGATTGAGAAACCTCCCATCGAATTAAATGAACTGGTAGGCGGCACCGATCAGATCTGCGAGGGCACTGTACGATGAGACCGTGATTAGTGTCGAAATAGTGATATTTAATGGTACTATAAATAGGAACCACCCACATTTATGTGTGGTTGTTGAATCTCAACTAACTCTGTGTTCTCTCAACTTTCTCTTTATAGAAAATTGTAATAAATCTCTGTAATAATTCGAAATGTTACAAAAGTGCTGACCTCGTACGAGAGGCCGACCTTGTAATTACGTAATAAAACATAATTAATCCATATCTTCTCTTTGTTTTCAGTCCTTTATTTTTATTAAACTTCATTTTAATTGTTGATCGGATCCGTCTATCAACACATATCATTTTTAAAATTAGTGTTATAACCTGAATATGTATAACTTATGTAACACTTTTATAATTCAACAATTAAAAAGTTTTTATATACTGCCATATCAAACGATTCCAGTTATAGTACGGCACTTTAGGTTCGATTTTGATGATTTTCGAATTTTTTAATCTAAGATTTCTAATTTTTCAACCCTAAAATCTCTATCGTTTTATTAGAAAAAAAAAAAAAACCCCAGAAATCAATAATTCTTTTGTACTCTTTTACCCTTTTACCCTTGGTTATTTTACATGGGTCCGCCGTCCGGGGGTTTTCTTAAATTTAAGCCCGCACTCCTATGCAGAAGAGGGAAAAACGAGAAGCTTTTTGCTGTTAGTCGGGGCACCAAACTGACCGGACGGGTATCCAAACCCGGTGAAAGCTCAGCTGATATCCGGCAGTGCACCAATGGAATATTATAGGAAAAAAAATTGGAAAATAAAAGACCTATAACTTGCAGTAAACTCCACTCGCCGCAGCTCTCTACGTAACCGCGTTTTTTCTCCATTCGTACTCACGGGAGACCCCTTTGTCGCCGCTTTTGACGTCGATTCTTGTGAGAAGCAATTTGCCCGGCGGTTAACGCTCTTTATCAGATTAAATCTGAAACTTGTCGCCGGAAAACGACATAGTTTGTCCTGATTTGGGTAAACGTAACGGCGGGAAGGCGAAGCGCGAAATTCTCTTTAGAGGTGCGTTCTTTTTTTTTTTAAGAACTTCACTTCTGGTGTTTAATTTTTTTGTTTTACTTATTTGATTATTTTTGCGGCCATGTAAGTTTTTTTGTTGTTATGAAGTTGGAGTCGAAGCATAGCCTTTCTTTCCTTCGTTTTGTTTTGCGTGTGATGGTTTGTTGAACGGCGAGGAGACTAATGTGGTAAGATAATTTGAAGGAGAATTATTTTTCTCCGCATGTTTCTTTGTTTTGCTCACGTAAACAAATTTTGTTGTTGGTGTGAGATTCATACTTTTAATCATATTTCTGGGTGCACAATTATTTGTTCCTGAAATTTGGCAAACTTACTTCATTCAAAATAAGGGAAATTCTACGGTTACATGATGATCTAACGGTTACAAATTCCGACAGAATGGTTCCGTTACGAGACTGTAGCATTTTCCTCAAAATAATAGCTTTTCGGTTGCTCTGAGAGAAGAATAGTGAAAAAGAATTACCGTTCTGTGTTTGAAGGGATCATTTTAGGATGCAAAAGTCAGGTTGATTTAATGTAGGAGGATACATACTCAACTGAAGTATGGAGGAGCTGATCATTGTTTGAGTCTTCAAATTTATAAACTAAAGATATGCCATTTATAAGGTTCAAACCCTGGAGTTAATTTCTTTCTTAAGTCAGACTTATATGTGTTTGGTCCGCTTGTTATTGCAGGCTGTGGGGAGGCTATAGATGATTGTCTTAGCGGTTTATGGTATACACTATAGAGTATTATTAGTTTGATCTTTACGTTCCATGTTCATCTGAGCTTGGACTTTTTATTTTATTAATGTTTTTTTTTATTTTTGTTTATTTTCTTGTTATCATTCATCTGGTCATGCTTTTACTTGTAAATCAGTTAATTATTCTGAGTTAAGCCAGGGCTGAAGTTTAATTTGGACGCTGGTAAATGCTAATTAGTCTTTTAGTTGTCAATTTGAATTGATTCTGGTAACTACATGCTAGTCCCTGGTAATATTGATATTTTGTTTTTATAGAGTGCTATATAAACCAGCATGATATTAACTTCAAGCTGTACTAGTTTGGCCATTTTTCCTGTGCTCTAGAAGGTGCAATTACTATGTGCTTTTGTTTTTTGCATTGAAGATTCAGTTTCTAGAAGTTTAAATGGTTACATAGTTTCTTATTTATCCGTATAATTTAAATTTGCAGACTTTTAACCCATATTATTGTAAAAAATAACAGTTTCCTAATTAAAAAATAAATAAAAAATAAAAAATTTTATTTTCTATTTTCCACAAGAAACTACTCAGGAAAGAAGAAACGAAGTTTGTATTAAAAGCAATTTATACATGTGTATGCAGTAGTCCCAGATGGCCGTTGAGGCATGTGATGCACAAAAGTTGATGGATGATATTGGTGATGATGATTTACCATTAAGTTTCAAAAGGAGTAGCTCTTCCAGAAAGCAAGGCCAATCAACCTTGGAAGCTAAGAAATCGGAAACTTACGAACCTGATAGACAACCAGCACAGGTAGGATCACAGAATGGTCAAAGTGCCATGGAGAAGAGTAAGGTGGCTCCTTCCTCCAAGTCACCACCTGTTAAATCTTCTGAGGTATTGAAACCTTCTACGTCGGCTATGGATGAGTCAAATTCACGCCAGATTAAAGATGAGAAGCCATCAACTGAAACCAATGAGGACTCGGAGGACTCTGATGATGATAAAACACTTACTGCTAGAGTTTCTGCTAACTTGTCAAAGGTCAACTCTAGCCATGCCAAAAAAGTTCTTCATGCTTCAAGTTCTAGTCAACAGCTTAAGATCCCCAAGCCTGAAGATTCAGATGATGAAATGCCGCTGTCTTCTAGGTTTCAAGTTAAGTCTAATGCTGGGATATCCATGCGCAGATCTTCCAATGCTGGTGAGGGAAAACCTTCAATGTCAAAATATGAACAAAATGGATCAGCCTCAATAGAAAGAAAATCTTTAGGTAATCTGAAGAAGAGACCTGGAGATGCAGGAAAAGCTGCAAATGAATCTCATCTAAAGAAACCTAAGTTTTCTGGCACATCTACACCTAAGAGTAGAGAAACGCCTGTTAAAGCTGAAACGAGGGAAGAAGATGATGAGGATCATGTCCCAATATCACATCGAATGAAGAAGCCGAATTCCGCAAACAAGAAAACATCATCTGTGAAGAAGATGACTAAACCCTTGGCTAAAATATCAAAGAAGACGAATAAGAAACAAAATAACTCTACGAAGAACTCTAAGTTCTCCAAGTCATTCACGGTTCCTCCAGGCTCTGGTGGAGGCCAGAAGTGGACTACCTTGGTTCACAATGGTGTGATCTTTCCACCACCATACAAGCCTCATGGGGTTAAGATGCTCTACAAAGGAAAGCCTGTTGACCTGACCCCAGAACAAGAAGAGGTACTTCTACTTTCTTTCTTGCATTTGTCTGTCTGTCTCGCATTCAATACATATATATTTCATGCTGTAATTCATTATGTCAGAATCACTGTTTCTCAAATTTCTTGATATAGACGGACAACAATTCTTTTCCTTCTTCATTTGCAGGTGGCAACAATGTATGCGGTGACGCTTGATACTGATTACATGAATAAACCTCAGTTCAAAGAGAACTTCATGGCCGACTGGCGGAAGATACTTGGGAAGAACCATGTTATTAAGAGCTTGGAACATTGTGATTTCACTCCGATATACGAATGGCATCAGAAAGAAAAGGATAAGAAGAAACAAATGACTAGTGAGGTGTTTACCAACAACTCTCAAGTATTTGCTGTATTCAGTGGTTATACCATTTTCATTGTCCATAAAGTTTTATATGCAGTGTTATGGAGGATAGATCTCGTTCGAGTTGTTTCCTCCTTTCTTTGGCAGTTTTTCAAATATGATATGACCATTGTGAGAAACAGTTAATATGAGCAATTTTACATGTTTCCTATTGAAACTAACTTGTAAACACATTATGCTCGTTATTGCTTATTGTCTTCAGTTTAAGTTGACGTTCTCTGGTGACAACGTTTGCCACTTTATTTGTTATGAAGGAATATGTCTCTTTTAAGTGGGATTTTAAGATGTTGGAATTTGTGCTACCTTTTGCAAATTAACCATTAGCAGTTTTTTTGTATCACCAATTAGTGTTTAGGTGGGAGGAAATATGCTTTGTGTTCCAAGTAACTCCTCTATAGGTTACATAATGTGAAATCATAATCTAATTCAAGGAGTTATTGCTTAACATTTTGAGGTTTCAATTTATCATGTAACTCAAGTTAATATAATTGTAGGAAATTGGAGTGAGCAGCTCATAGCTTAAATGTAGTAAGATTGCTATGCATCAGAATATATCTCAAGAAAATTTGAACGTGTGATGTAATCCTTTTGCTTTAATTGTATGTGACACTTGGATAAAAGTAGTGAATCATGCATGTCACAGACATGATAGCAAGTAGTATATTCTGAATATTAGAATGACTTTGGTTGTTATAATTGCACTATGTAAAGCGGGGATGGCTCTAGATGTTATCTTTAGTTTTATTTTTACTTATTTAATCGTTTCATCTTGGTGAATGTCTGCTTAGAAGCTGATGAACATGTTATTTGCTAATGTTTGGTGGGTTGATCAAAGAATATTGATATTTTTTCACGGAAAAGAAACTTAACATTTGTTAAGTCTTGCATAAGGACTCTACATGAGCAACCGAAGCTTACATTAATTTCTCATAAGGACATCTTTTTCTATTGCTTTGTTTTCTTATTTATATAATTTTTTAACAGGAGAAGAAAGCTTTAAGAGAGGAGAAACAGAAGCAAGAGGATAAGTACACGTGGGCCATTGTTGATGGCATGAAAGAGAAGGTATGATTCACCTTCATTTTGATCTCTATTTTCTTTAATTTGATATTATTTATTGGAAAAGATAAGCTAGAGAAGCTAGTTTTTTACCCCTTGTAGTTTGATGGTAAAACTTTTGAAACACATATAACCACTCATGACAGACAGTATAAGAAATATGAGAATACAGTGTATTGTTACTTCAAATAATCTATCCCTAAGTCTGTGCATGATAGAGATCAGGAAAGTAAATCATGAGAAGGAAAGCAAGAATGGAATAAATATCTAATGCACAAATCAAGGGATTGACGGGAATCATGGGATCCTAATTGGCATGGAAGGCTATCATATTTCTTCTTTATAACTATTACCTTAAATAAATAATATGCCTATAAAAGAGTTGCGAGGAAGTGATGATCGGGTATCGAGAAAAATACTGTTTGTCGGTTTTTTTAGCTTGGGCGGGATTATTTCCCGAGGAGAACTTCATATTCTCGGAGAACCTTGTGTTCTTTCTTCTTTGTTTCTAATTAATAATATTTAGTATCTTTTACATTGGCCCTTTACTCCTATCAATTGGTCCGACCTGCCACTACGAATGATGCATATTGAATCTCGCATTGAAGCCTTGGAGAAGGGTCAAGCGGTGCTTGAGTGCCGACTCATTAATGCCGAGGACGCCATCACCAAACTTACAGAGTTGGTCACACGATTTTTATCAACCAAGCACAACGATCTAGCCACCTCCCAAGTGAATCATGTCAACAACTCGTCTAATGTGGATTCCACATCCTCAGTTATTGTGAATCATGTTGAAATTTTAGAACTGGAGAATGGCAGCAAATCCAAATCCACCGTCTCCACTACCTCTGCACCGCTAGTTTTGATACAATCGGTTTCAGAGCCTCATGAGACTGCCAAGGTGCCAATTCCCCGTTTGGATCTATGCACTCTTAAAGAAGATTTTCTCATTGATGAGCAGTACCCTCACATTTATCACACAGGCAAGGCTATCAAATTCATGACAAATGTCTTCTCTTTTCCAATGCAAACGGAGGACTGGAAGCATATAATGCTCTATTCCAGTGTGCATGATGAGTCTCATGGCCCCTATGCAATAATCAATGGTGTTCTTTTTTACAAAGGTCGTCTAGTTTTGCCGTTTACTAGACAAAGTTTTTTTCTTTGCAGCCTTGAGGACAAGGCTGTTTTCTGGCGGCCGGCAATGATAGAGATCAGGAAAGTAAAATGAGAAGGAAAGCAAGAATGGAATAAATATCTAATGCACAAATCAAGGGATTGACGGGAATCATGGGATCCTAATTGGCATGGAAGGCTATCATATTTCTTCTTTATAACTATTACCTTAAATAAATAATATGCCTATAAAAGGGTTGCGAGGAAGTGATGATCGGGTATCGAGAGAAAAATACTGTTTGTCGGTTTTTTTAGCTTGGGCGGGATTATTTCCCGAGGAGAACTTTATGTTCTCGGAGAACCTTGTGTTCTTTCTTCTTTGTTTCTAATTGATAATATTTAGTATCTTTTACATTGGCCCTTTACTCCTACCAGTGCAAGTTAGAACCTATCACTTACTGTTTCTACACTGTACTCACTATCTTTTTCAGGTATTGTGTTGTGTTCTGGTAAGGACTTAATCCCGATGGTAGAGGATTTTGGGTTCAGAGTGGAACATTTTGATGATCTTTTACTTATTTTTTCACATTGTTGAGCTGTTTTTGCGAATAAAGCGTGTGCTGGCTCCATGCCATTTCTTTCGATTACATCTTTTGTAAATGAACATGGATGATTCCTATAGTATATATTGGGTAATATGGATCATTTGTCCGGCGATGAATTGAAATCGGTCATTTTATCATTAATTTTTGTGAAGTGCAGATTCTTCTTATCGTATCATGTTCTCTGAGAAATTACAAATTGGTTTCTCACTACCATTCTGATTCTATCTCTTTGCTCTTGTTCTCCGAGGAAGCTGACTCTAATTCAATTTTCAGGTGGGTAACTTCAGGGTTGAACCACCTGGGTTGTTTCGAGGCCGTGGCGACCATCCAAAGGTGCATTACTATTTTTCTTCTAGTAGTTAAACATCAATCAATGTTTTATGGGGTCATGTATATTATGTCACAGGATGAAGTGGCGCTTTAGTTTATTAGTGGCTGAAAACCATCTACTGTTTGCAGATTGGGAAGCTGAAAAAACGAATTCTTCCTAGTGATATCACTATAAATATCGGAAAGGATGCACCAATTCCTGAGTGTCCTATCCCTGGTGAAAGGTTCTGCTTCATAAACTAACTTTCTGTGCAGAACCAGGATATCTCATTTTTTGGTGAACGGTTAAGAGTGTTTCGAGTTTCCTGATTCCAAATAAACTGATCTTAAATGTAGTTTTGAACTTGCTTGGCAGTTGGAAAGAAATCAGGCATGACAATATGGTTACATGGTTGGCATATTGGAATGATCCCATCAATCCGAAAGAATCCAAATATGTATTCTTGGCACCAAGCAGTAAATTGAAAGGACAGAGTGATAGAGAGAAATATGAGAAAGCTAGGCGCTTAAAGGTCGAAACCGAATTGACCAGAAATGTTATTAATCACCCTTTGATATTTATATTGAAGGACTAGATATTAACACCATTTGCTTTTTGAATGAAGGATTATATTCACGGTATCCGAGCAACTTATACCAAGAACTTCACGAGTAAAGATTCGGCTCAGAGGCAAATAGCTGTTGCAACCTATCTTATTGACAAGCTAGCTCTTAGGGCTGGAAATGAGAAGGTATAAGGGGAACCATGAGTTGGTTATCATTGCCGTTGATTATGTTTTGGATTACGCTGTTGCCAAAGCTAGACCTTATTCTTGAAGCCAATTTTTCCGTTCTGAAATATTTGAATCCCATCATGGATTGCAAGGGTATTCGCTACAATTTAAAGTCTTCTCTTGTTATAGGATGATGATGAAGCTAGTACGGTTGGTTGCTGCACATTAAAGGTTGAACATGTTGAACCAGTGCCTCCAAATATCTTAAAGGTCAAGTGGCTTTTCATATATTTTATCTAAGATTCTCTTTATCTATACCTTTCTTAATAAGATACACCAGTTGAGTGATTGTTTTGAAGAATTTATTTGTATGACTTCATCTCCCCTAAAAGTACTCCATCAGTGATGTCAAAAGTTCCGCCATGGCACGTGGCGAACTTCTGCCTAACTTCCTTTTGAAATTGTGAAGGATGGTGGTCATGGTGGCTTCACAGGCTGCCATGTGGCGGGATTTCAGCCTGATATTTTTTTCCATCATCTGCCATTGATAACACTGTACTCCATGCAACATCCAACATCCCTGCATCTTTTAGGACTAATTATATGAATAGCATTTCTTTCCCTTTGCAGTTTGATTTCCTGGGTAAAGATTCTATAAGGTATGATAAGGAAGTGGAGGTCGAGACTCCCGTGTTTAAGGCAATCCAGCAGTTTAGAAGTGGTCCGTAAATGCCTGCTGTAGCACTACACATGATCTTGTTTGTTTTTGGTGTACTTCTTCAACATGTAGATTTTGTTTTGTCCAGGGAAAAAGGGCAGTGATGATATATTTGACAGCCTTGATACAAGTAAACTAAATGCTCATCTAAAGGAACTAATGCCTGGTCTTACCGCCAAAGTCTTCCGTACGTATAATGCATCCATTACATTGGATGACCTGGTAAGATAAACATCGAACTCCTTCCCTTCTGTTTGTGGTTATTTATGGAACCAGCAGCTCAACCAGTGAAATAAGTTTTAAACAATAAAAATCGAAGTCCCTTTTGTTGGCATTTGCATTGTGTTGTCTATTTGGCTGTTCTAGTTTCCTGAAAGAGATTGCTAGCTACTGCATTAAAATCAACAGTAGAGTGATAGTATATGATTGTACCTAATCTCATGAAATATTCAATTGATTTAATACTCCTACCATTGGCTTGTGGACTTTGCATTTGATTTATACATTTATGGTGGGTTTCAGTTCTGTGTCAAGTTATCTCAGTTGATTAGCTTTTATTTAAAATGATAAGGCGGATAGTGATAAAAATTGCTTGCTGATAGAATGAAGGGCGGATTGCAAGAAGATATCCAAAACTGAAATTGATAATTAATTGAAATATGAAAGAAATGGGAAGAACTCAAAAGAGTTGCAGGCGAGCCTGCCCCAAGCGCGAACGCCGGTCAAGATTCCTCCGGCCTAAGCCAAAGGCTCCTATATTCTTTTCCGTGAGAGCTTGGTTATAAATAAAACCGGTTTTGATTGGATTTATTAGTTAAAGTGAGTTGATGTTGAATAAAATTGATTGAGTGGACTATGGGTGGAATTTTGAATTTGTATTTAAATAATATCTAAAAGGTCATGATTAAAGCTGATGTGGTATAAAAGTAGGAGAGGGGTTATTGGAAATGATAAGTGGTTAAAAATATGTGAGCAGATGAACAATGTTAAAGTTGATGTAATGCATAAAGATGATTGATTGATTAGTGTTGTTTAGTTATATTGAGTTGAATTAAATTTGAGTTAAGCTGTGTAAAAAAATGATCCGTTCATTCAAAATTGGTTTTAACTTGTAGCCAATGGCGCTCTAGGCACCTAAACCCTACTACTTAGATAAAACAAATTAGGATTCCAAAGCAAAAGCCGGACCCATCAACTTATTGGAAGCCTAATTAAATAACTTAACTAAAATATGAGGAAACTTAAATATAGATACTTATCAACACTCTCATGGTCAAATAGCCTTGTCCCCAAGGTTGTATTGCCGAAAACCCATGCCACACTCATCAAGCTAGCCAAACTCTGTGGGGGAGATAACCTCGTCGCCGTCCGCTTCAACCATCACGTTCAAGTATTTTGCACGACAATTGTACATCAGATGGTAAGGCTCACTACATTTTAAACAAAGTCCCCTAAGGTCCAACTATTCAGTGTGGATAGGTAGCATCTGCTATGGTTAGGCAGACTCGAAGAGGTCGAATGAGCTGAGGATGACTGTGCAACCCTGTTGCACCTGTGTAGAATGTTTGGGCGCTGGGTAGGACTGGGCATGGGACTCGAAGAATTCCGAACCATTCCTAGAACCGAACCAAATGCACTCTGAACCGAAAAATAATAGTTAACCGTTTGTTGGTCTTAAATAACAGTACTTGATATTTTTATCTCTTTCCACATGTGCAAGATCATCTCAAGTTATACCTGCTCTTCACTAATGCCTTTTTGTTGGTCACAGTTGAGTAAGATGACAAAAGGTGGAGATGTTGCCCAGAAAGCTGCTGTTTATCAGGATGCAAACAAAGAGGTAAAGTCTCACAGTCTAACTTAATCCATTGACCTTTTGTTCAGATGTCTAATATTCCTTGTCTCGTAGGTTGCAATCATTTGTAATCATCAACGTGCGGAAACAAAGAACCACGCTCCCCAGATGTTAAAACTGAAAGAAAAGAGAGACGAAGCCAAGGTGATAACCTAATTTCTGTAACTATTGGACTATTTCTTTAACACCCAAATTCCCAGATTTTACTTTTTCTTTTCCACCGGTTTGTGTTTACCTGTTCATTTTCGGTAGTGTGCCCCTCAATTTTTTTGGCATTTGATCTTTCAGGCTGTTTTGAAGGAACTTCAGACAGATCTGTCTAGGGCTAAGAAAGGGAAGCCTCCGATGAAGAGCGCTGATAGTAAAACAAAGAGGAATTTGAATCCTGAGGCGTAAGTTGTCAAATGTTTTATTTATTTATTTCAGTATTCATGGAATTAATATGCAGCATTGCATGTTATGAATTTTATCATGTTAAGTAGCTGAAGCGGGGGCAAGGTCTTGCAGGTTAGAGAGGAAGATAGCTCAGTGCAAGGTCAAGATTGGAAAAATGGAAGTAGACATGAAGGTGAAAGAGGATATGAAGACCGTGGCATTGGGTACGTCGAAGATTAACTACAACGATCCGAGGATCACTGTTGCATGGTGCAAGCGCCATGAAGTCCCTATTGAAAAGGTAAAAAAGGTAACTTTTTTTCCCCCTCCATATTATCCTAAAACAAGATTTAAGTGGCACAACTCCACTCGGCTCCTCTTCAGAAGACTAACGATTTTGCCGTGCAGATTTTCACCAAGTCTCTTCTCGCAAAGTTTGTTTGGGCAATGGATGTCGATCCTGATTTCAGATTCTGAAGTATCTCTGGTACTCAGTCCATCCCGCAGCGTGTTCTCCACTAACCATGAAAGAAAAAGAGAAAGTCGGCGAATAAAAAGAAAAAAATAAAAATAATTTTTTTTTTTAACTGCACTTGAATGGAAACAGTTTATTCTTTTTAATCCTGCCAAAAAATTCCTATTGAAAACTTGAAAACTCATAATTTTCAATGACAATGTCTTAGTTGTCATCGTTTAGTGGGTGTTGGCCTCGTTGCGCAGTTTGATATGAGGTGAAAATTCGTGCATGTTTGATTATGTTTGCATCGATAGTTTGTTTCTCCATGTCTGCTGTAGAAGTCTTCGCCTAGCTCTGATTTTATAACGTCTAGGCGGTAAACCTATTATGACTGCCTACATTTTTTACCCGATTGTATGTCGTCTAGCATTATATAATTTACGCTTAGGTAAGGCAGCTACGGGCTCGAGTCTGCTGCTTAGAGAGCGATAGCCATTTTTATCGATGTGGTCTACTTGGAAAACTTCATTTTTCCTCTCATGCTACTCGATCGGCATTGTCATTCAAGTCTGTAATATTTACTGATGTGGAAAAATTGTACATCACGTATAAAATGGTTCCATCTTCGGACCACAAATCCTCTAGATAAGTTGTTTGACAAAACATAAGTCTTGATTAATGTGACAGTTTTAATCTAAGATGGTTGACAATTGCATATTCAACAGAAAAAAAGGTTTGATTTTTTTTTTCGACCTAAAGATTGTTTACAATTTTCTGTAATTAATTGGCTTTAGTTCTCTTTAGCTCTTTTCAAATATAATATATTTGTAGAAGTAACAAATAAAGAAATTTGTACATATAATATCCCACATATATATAATTACAAAATGTGCTGAGTTTAAGTGACAATTTCACGTTTTTTATTGCTGAGCTTAAGTGACAATTTCACGTTTTTTATAATTTTATGTAAAAAAATATTATACTTTTAATATTACTCGGATAAAAATTACTATCTTTTTTTAATTCCAAATAGCTTAGGTATGAATTATCATAAATACACATATTTAATATATTTAAATTATTTCATATAATTATTTATTATCTTATTTCTATAAGTATTTCATGTAAATTTATTTACTATCTTATTTCTATAATGGGCATATTATCTCACTTTTCAAATTTTTCTTTTTGTCCATATTATTCTCTTATGTGTTTTACAAAAATTATAAATATCCACGAGCGCTTGGATGAGATGGCTTGGATCTCTTCCAGCTTAACCAGTGGTCTCGTGTTCGAGCCCTGGGAATGCAGCAGTGTTAAAACTCTTGAAGGAGAGCTTTGTCGTCCTTGTTGTCCTAACCGGCTCAATTCCGGATTAGTGCGTCCCCTGGATTCGGAAACCGGAAGGTCCCTGTACAAAAAAAAAAAAATATATATATATACATATATATATATATATATATAGGGGGAGGATCCAATGAGTACACTACTTAAAATGAGTACACTCCTTAAAATGAGTCCACTTTTTAAAATATATATTAATTAAATAATAAAATAATTATTAGTTGACTCCGACGTTGACCGTTGACTTCCGGCGTTGACCGTTGACTTCCGGCGAAAAATTGTTGACTTTCGACGTTGACCGTTGACTTCCGGCGTTGACCGTTGACTTCCGCCGTTGACCCGTTGACCCCTAATATGCATCATATGTATGAATATGCATCCAGTACCATGCATTCAATATGAACTAAATATGCATGGGATATGAATTACACATGCAGTCCTTATGAACTAAATATGCACCAATAATATCAACTAAGTATGCACCTGTTATGAACTAAATATGCATCTGTTATGAACTAAATATGCATCATGAATGAACTAAATATGCAGCGAAAAATATGCAATAAAAATGTACATTTTATATAGGTAATTTATGATGCATATTTAGTTAATTTATTATGAATATTTAGGTAATTTATGATGCATATTTAGTTAATACGAAATGCATACTTGTTATATTTAAATTAAATATATAATAATATTTATATAATTAATTTATTATGCATATTTACTTAATTCATGATACATATTTAGTTCTTACGAAATGCATATTTAGTTCATGAACAATGCATACCTATTTTGTTTGAGATCCAATCATAACAATTTATTTGTGTTATTAATCAATTTAAAATTAAAGTTCATTATATAATAAAAATCATTAATTATTATATTTAGTTTAATTGTATAAAATGTTTATTTTATTGCATATTTTCGTTGCATATTTAGTTCATTCCTGATGCATATTTAATTAGTAAAATGTGCATATTTAGTACATAAACAGTGCATACATATTTGATATTACTGGTGCATATTTAGTTCATTAGGATAACATATATAATTTATTTATGATGCATATTTAGTTCATACAAAGTGCATAATACTGATGCATATTTACTTCATACACAATGCATGCTAAGGGTCAAAGGTCAATGTTGAAAGTCAACGCCGGAAGTCAACGGTCAACGCCAGAAGTCAACGATTTTTGCCGGAAGTCAACGCCGGAAGTCAACGGTCAACGCCGGAAGTCAACGGTCGACGCCGGAGTCAACGGTCAACGCCGAGTCAATGGTCAATTGTCAAATTAATATTTAAATAATTAAAATAATAAAATAAAGAAATAAGTAATAAAAATAAAGAATTATTATTTAATTGAAAAGTTAATCTTAGCCACACATAATGTATCAATCTAATGGCTAGGAATGAGACTCACATTCACACTTTAAATATGTGTACTCATTGGATCCAATCCCTATATATATATATATAAATAAAACTAATGATGTATATAAAACAGTTTTAAGAATTTAACATCATATTGTTAATTCATTTAGTTCTTTATTATAAATTATTACATATTATTCCTTAATTATTATTTTTTTGTCAACTTCAAAAAATTATATAAACAATTTTTTTTTCCTTTCTTTGTTTCATACTTAATATTTTATCGAACATCCGTGTAATATACGGGGGTGTCGTACGAGTTAGAAAATAACCACTATTTTTTTTTTTTTCAGTTATCAAACTAGTACGAATCCCGTGCGATGCACGGGCAAGAAATATTCATTAATATTTACAAATTAAAAATATTTATTAAATAATATTTATAAATAAAAATTACATATATTAATTTATCAAAAACGTTATGTGAAATTTAAATTTTGAAAAATTACATAACACATGTCTAGATCAAAAATTAGTATACAACCCAAGATGGTGCACATGACTGATATTAAATAACATCGTATTTATTTCAAAATAAGTGTCATTTTAAACATTTTTATTCAGAAATTCGATTTGACTACAATGTGATTCCATAACATAATCATTTTTGTAAAAATTTATCCTATATATAAAAATTTATATGAATAATAAGTATAATTATAAAAATTTATATTGTTTCTTTAATTAAAATGTTACTATTTTTGTATAAGCTGTCTAAATCAAAAAAATTATGTAGTTGAGAATTTATTAGAATATAAATAATTGACTATTTCAATATATTGACCCCTAAGTCATGAGTAATTACTAATTTGAAACTCATATTTGGACTACAAATATTATACTTTTGTTTATTATTTTTTTATTTGTATATTAATCGTGGACTCATTTATTTATCATATTAGATTAGATACCATAAACCAGTGTATCAATACCTTTCGGGCTAATTAAAGATTCTTCTTAATACTCTAAATCATAACATAACTAACGTAGTGTATAAAAGACTTTTTTTTTAATACCATTAATCAAAAGGTAATTAACGAATACATGATCTCCAAAATTTTTTCCATATATAGAGCAACTTATGGATATTTATTTTGAAGATTAACCATGATCTCATTTGAAGGATTGGTTGAATCAAATGTGCAAATAATATGTCCCTAGTTAATTAAACGTGGAATTTGGACAAACAAACATATTTAACCATTTTAAAACAAATATTATTACCATGTTTCAATCCAGCATAATTAAGGTAAAGCCTAGTTTATAATAATTATAAAATCTATTACTTAAAAGTATGTTGACTTTAACATATTATCTAATAAAGTGAATTTATGAACTAAGTTATGAGTTGTTTAAAATTATTTTCAAGTTTTAAAATCTTACATTTTTTTTAATAAGATGACTTAATTGATGTAAAATTTCACCCAAATATCAAATTAAATGGATGAAAATTTGAAATTAAACTACATTTAAATCTATATATACTAATAGAAAAAGTTCTAAGAATTTACATTAAATAGTTAGGAGAATCCCGCCTAAAAATTTAATTTTTACTAATTCTGAAATTTAAATTAATTTTAATTCAAACTTTTGAATATCATATGAAAATAAGTATACATTTTTTATTTCATTCTTATAATACGTTTTGGTGACAATTTATGTTCCACGTGTAGATTTCTTGTTATTTCATTCTTATTAATACTATTTTTAATTTTCAACAATAGAAAAATATCTTTATTTATAATAGATATCTTAATTTTTAAATCCAACCATATATTCATTCTAAGATAGGATTTTAGAATTACAGTAACAATTTGCCATTCCAAATCAAAATTAGTTAATATAAATTAGTTACAACTTACAACAAATCGACTAATAATAATAGGTATCATAATATATGTTCTTACATTGTCATTTTATTTAATACAATAATATATTTTTTGCTTAGATGATGAGATCTATAAATAACCTCATTTCATTGTATCCCTTATATATATACGAAATTTATTTCCTTTTATATATAAAATATTATATTTGAATATGTGATCTTAAACAAATCTCATAAGCACTTATCCAAAAAAACCTTTTATGGTTTTACCAAAAATCATCCTAAAAATCAGAATTTTATCATTATTCCTTATATCTAGACAACCAACCATATATACACGATATTGTTATAATTTATTTTACCAACATGATTCTATACTTTAATTACAAAGATATTTTTAATTTGAATTTTAAATAATTGGCGCCACTTTTCAAAAATATTTTAAAAAGTTACTAATAAAAGTAAAAACAAATTCTTTAGGCGGGAAAATAGTTACTTTTTTAGGTAAATGTCAAACCTTTTTATATTTATATAGATGTGTACAACATATAATTTTTATATTATCATTCCAAAGTCCAAACTTATGGAAGCAACATAAGTTGCGAAACAACCAAACCAAAAGGGTATTCGTCTCCCAATCAATCATTGTCTTGTAAAATTATGGACTCATCGAGCGCAGCTGCCGACCACGACGATCCACCGGCAGATAACGACGGCGACTCGACGGTCCTCGACCTGACGGGCTGTCAGCTGCGCGATCTTGGCTCGGTCGAGCTACCGCCTATTCTGACGGAGCTGGACCTGACGGCAAACCGGTTGACGGCGTTAGACCTCCGTATTTCACAGCTCTCCAATCTCAAGAAGCTCTCTCTGCGTCAGAACCTCCTCAACGATGGAGGTGTCCTCCCTCTGTCCACGTGGCATTCTATCTCCGCTCTCCAGGTTTTCATTCATTTTTCTTATTTTTTTCGTTTCCTTTTAAATTTTGATTATTCTCATGAATTCAGTTATCTGATAGCTTGTTTAGTTTCTCATACATGTATTGGGGGTTGTTTTTGTTTGTTGCTTTGGATTAGAATATTAGGAATCAGTGTCATGATTACATACTTGTTTGACATTTTAGCTTGAATATGTGTGTAATCCTCATTTTAAACGATTATGGAAAAATTTATCTTTCTGAAGTTTGAATCAGATCTGAGAGCATTGTTAATGGAAAATTACTTGAGCTGCATAAGGAAGCGAACTTTCAGTGTTCTCAATGCTACTGATGTGTATAATCCTCAAGGCCCAAGCATGTAGAAATTGCATGATTATCTCCAATTATTTAGCTGTACTTTGCTGTACGAATCTTGATGTTGGGCTTCTAATAGATAAAACAAATGAGCTTATCAATTTCCACAAGAGAGATATTCTTTTACCTAATTGACGCATTCGTGGAATCATTGTTTTTATTCCAAAAATGATCCATATAGCTTTCTAATTATATATGTACAATTCATAAATATCTGATGATAGCCATCAAATTTGAATTATCACACATAGATGCGGACTTGAGGATACCTGGCTATAACTAGCGATTGAAATGGTCAGCTTCCTGTAGTATCATAATAATATCGTGACAGTGACTTGCCACAAAATTTAGTTAGTTTAGGTGGTTCAACATAGTTTTTGGAGAGTATATTGGTGAAAATGAATTAATTTATGACCAAGGTTATGTCTGAATCTCTAGAACATTCGGTTGGGATTTGGATTGAGGAATGTCTTTAAGTATTCTGAATGTTTTTTTATCAATCTGAACCACCTGTTTTGCTGGAAAGAAGCGGAAGTGTTTCCCTAAATGTTGCTGGGCATCTGCATTTTACTGTTTTGTTAAGATTTACTGTGATAAGCTACTATATAAGAACATTCTGTTTTTTTCAAACTGAAATGTAGCTTGTGGTTCGAATTATTTATGTTACTTCTATATTTATTTGTGTGCTTGTCCAGTATGTTTTTAGAAGCATATGCTTTCCCGAAAAGCATATTTCTTGATGATCAAAGCAGTAGCGACTTTATCCGACCATTGCTTCGAAAGGATGGGCTAGGAAAAATGATGGCTCTATAAATCGTGCAAACATATAGCAGAACCTGCCCGTTATACATTGTCTTTGTGGGTCTTTTTATTGTTATAGTTTGATGGCTTTGAGGTTGTGTGCTGTCATGCTGTGGTGAGGGTCTCATTTAAACACTAATTTTCTATCGTTGTCCAAGTATCAATGGTCTATTTGTTTTCAACAGGAGCTAGTGTTGAGGGATAATCAGTTGAAGAATATTCCAGATGTTACCATATTCGCAATGCTCCTGGTCTTTGATGTCTCATTTAATGAGATCTCCTCACTTAGTGGGCTCTCCAAGGTGGCAAACACTCTTAAAGAGCTATATGTGTCAAAAAATGAAGTGGCAAAGATAGAAGAGATTGAGCACTTGTGTGAGCTGCAGATTCTCGAGCTTGGATCGAACAAATTACGGGTTCGGCTATGTCATCAGTTAGCTATTTTCCCCCCTTCCCTTGCGCGTCCTATTGTCATCATTAGAAAGCGAACTGATTATATCCTTCCTGGTGGCCGGATAATATGAAAATCTTAAAAATTTTGATAAATCATTAGAGGGATATACTTGTTGGCTGCAGCATGCCCCTTTCTATAGCATTTAGCAAACCATTTGTTGCTGAACAGTATGAACATGAGAGCTTGAATTTAAAAGCTGATTGTGCCTCAAATAGCTGACAATTTTATACATGGAACAGTGTTTTATATTTGTTTTGGGGACTGTGTATCTACTTATGAACTTAGTTTGAAACATCAGGTGATGGAGAATCTGCAAAATTTATCATCCTTGCAAGAACTGTGGCTCGGGCGCAACCGTATCCGAGCCATTAACCTTTGTGGGTTAAAAGGTATTAAGAAGCTCAGCCTTCAAAGCAACCGATTGACTTCAATTGCTGGAGTTGAGGTAAGCTAAGCATGGACATGTGCTTGAATGTGTGTTATGCACCTATTCCTTCAAATTCGCTTTCCATATGGGAGATATTCTATACCTTAAATGTTGTTTCCCGTTATTTGCCTTTACCTTTTCATGATATGCAGGAATGTGTTGCACTAGAAGAATTGTACTTGAGCCATAATGGAATTGCGAAAATGGAAGGCCTATCTGCTTTAGTCAACCTACGAGTCCTGGATGTGGCATCTAATAAGCTCACAGAAATAAATGACATCGAGAGCTTGACAAAGTATGATGAAAATCAGTTTTACCATGTCCTGCATTAATCTTTTCTGTATCTGCATGGCGAAATTAGTTCCTTTTTTCTATTTGGCTTACAGATTAGAAGATCTTTGGCTTAATGACAACCAAATAACATCACTGGACAACATAGCTGAAGCTGTTGCTGGTTCCAGGAACAGTCTCACTACCATTTACCTCGAGCGCAATCCATGTGTATGTACTGCTTGAAAAATATATTTTTCTTATACCGATGATGCGTAAATAGTATATTCTTGTAATCCCTCTACCCTATTTTTCTGAAGTACTAAAGATACCTTTGTAATAATTCTTTGACCTTTTGCAGGCAAATTCTCCAAGCTATATATCTACTTTGAAACAAATATTCCCCAACATTCAGCAAATTGATTCTGAAATCTTTTCATAGAGCTTTTGGGCGAAAATTATTTTCTTTTAGCAGAGGATAATTGTGCTGCCACCAAAATCGGAGAAATAAAATAAAAATATATGACTATTGTTGCATATGTTGCTGATGCTTGAGGTGAGGTGATGATGCAGCCTGCAATTGAAATTCAAGGCTAGGACGAATCCAAAGGCAACTGAACTTTCAGAAAGTCGACATTTTTCCTGAACTATTATAACTCATCAACGTATGTGTCTCTCGATTTCTGTTTTTTCCTGAGGTCAGTGCCAAAATCGAGTTTTTAAAGTTTAAGGACGTGATTATAAGAATATCACGTTCAGACTTTATGTGAGGAGATATTTTTGTTGTAAATCTCTGATTTTAAAACAAAATTCCAGAGGGCAACATTAGTTTCTGCAGTTGAGCAAGTCTTTCAGAATTTGATTATTATTATATTGATGAAGTGGATGAAGTAAGAAGCTATTGAGCTTATAAAAAACTTTTTTGTTGTTTTTTGAGATGGTGATTCTCTAATGATTAGTCATTTCGGAATTTATAAGCAATTATATTTTTCAACATTGATGAACACTTAATATTAATATGGCATTTCATAAAACAAAATATAAAGTATGACAATCAAAGTATATATGTATGTATTTTTATTTATAAAATATGATAGATATACTTGCCTAACTAGTAGGTTGCATTACACCAACTAATATGACATAGATAACTTGGTCCTGAATCGGGCTTTCACAGCTCGATACTAGACCAGAGCTCCCTTTGGAACGATTTGCACCTGTTAGTACACTGGGCAGGTCGCGGGCCGGTTAGAACCAATAATTGACCTGGACCCATGATCATTGACATGATAGCTCGAGGAAGCGAGCACGAAAGAGCAGCATCGCAAGGGATGTCTCTCATGTCCAGGCTGTAGCTCGGAAAGCGAGCACGGAAGAGCTATTAGAATTATTGAGTGTAAATCATGTGAGCTAGAGCCCACTTTAATTTTATTTTTCTCCTCACATGTATTTGTTCCAACATGAAGATTCCTTCGGTAATGGCCAACTTGCACCATTATTGTCAAATTGCATCAATTAGTGTTATAACTAATGATGATTTGATTAAATTAATATGCTGAGCCGTGTGAAGAGTTTTGCCCACTTGCTCAAAACCCATTTATAAATATGGGACTTCATCTTGTTGAGAGAATGCACAAGGAAAAAACTTTTTTGTTGTTTTTTGAGATGGTGATTCTCTAATGATTAGTCATTTCGGAATTTATAAGCAATTATATTTTTCAACATTGATGAACACTTAATATTATTATGGCATTTCATAAAACAAAATATAAAGTATGACAATCAAAGTATATATGTATGTATTTTTATTTATAAAATATGATAGATATACTTGCCTAACTAGTAGGTTGCATTACACCAACTAATATGACATAGATAACTTGGTCCTGAATCGGGCTCTCGATACTAGACCAGAGCTCCCGTTGGAACGATTTGCACCTGTTAATACACTGGGCAGGTCGTGGGCCGGTTAGAACCAGTAATTGACCTTGACCCATGATCATTGACATGATAGCTCGAGGAAGTGAGCGCGAAAGAGCAGCATCGCATGGGATGCCTCTCATGTCTAGGTTGTAGCTCGGGAAGCGAGCACGGAAGAGCTATTAGAATTATTGAGAGTAAAACATGTTAGCTAGGGCCCACTTTAATTTTCTTTTTCTCCTCACATGCATTTGTTCCAACATGAAGATTCCTTTGGTAATGGCCAACTTGCACCATTATTGTCAAATTGCATCAATTAGTGTTACAACTAATGGTGATTTGATTAAATTAATATGCTGAGCCGCGTGAAGAGTTCTGCCCACTTGCTCAAAACCCATTTATAAATATGGGACTTCATCTTGCTGAGAGAATGCACAAGGAAAAGAAAGGATACAAATGAAAAATTAAAAACAAGAGAAAAGACACAAAAGCAAGAAAGAAAGAGAGAAAAAAGAGAAAAAAAAAAAAGGACAGAAAATAAAAAGAGATATTCAAATATCGGATATAAAAATATCAAAAGAGAAGAAAAAAGTGATATTTTATTAGTTTTAGAATATTCCTTTTATTTCTAAGTGCTCAATTCTCGACTCTGTTCCAGTTCGTCGGGAACTCGTAAATCTGGTGTGCTATAGATTTCAAGACGTTAGCTGTTGTATCTTTGGGGACGTTACGCCTGAACCATAAGCATTACACGAAGTGTATTCGTCTTGCGTAAAGAGATATTCTCGCTTCGGCTATATTCTTTCCACTTTTGAGTTGTAATTTATTTATCGGTTGTATTATAATTGTATTTTTAGTTCATTTGTAAGAACTGAAAAATTAAAATATCAGTTCGTAGGATTCCCGTGTATTTTTAACACCCAGTTCTTAACAAGAGCAGCCTCGTTTGGGAAGATGTCTGAATTAAGAGGCTCAGTTGGCCACGAACGATGTAGTAGAAAATATTTGACTTTTTAAATATGATTTATGGAGTATGGTCTAACTTACAATTAGCATAATGAGTGGTCAAACGAATAATATATCTAACGAGTAATAGAATAAGTGAAGATGGCTCCATAAGTCGAGTCATCCGATGACTCTATAGCAAAACTGTGGAAAACTGTAGTGGATATAACGAGATAAAAAATAAAATATTATAATATAGGATTAACAAGTAGTTAAAATATGAAGGCTAGTCACAATTTATAGCATGTTTGTGAACCGGCGGTTACAATTACGATTCAAACCATCGGCTATTTATTTATTTAAAATGTAAATCAAATGACAGAAACCTTAGGTAAAACCACTGACACAAACCTATAGTTTCGTCGGTTCTCCTTTTTGTTAAAAAAATTTAAAACCAGCAAAACATATGTTTTGTCTGACTTTCCTTCTAAGGCATTTTTTTGATATATCATATACCAACATACGAAAGACAACGGTCTTTTTTGTATTGGAGATAATCAAAGTTTGTCGACACTATTCAATTGTTGTTGGAAGTAATGATAAAATCTTTGATTGTGTCAACAATTTGAAGGAACAACGAGCGTGACATTCGGTATCTTTTATGAAACACAGTCTGATTGTACAAGGCATTATCTGAGGAATAATCATTGAACAACCTCTTCTCACACGGTTGTTAACAATATGCCAGGAATAGAACCGCCATATAATGCTTGGCGGTTTTGTTGATCATGAAGTTGTTGAAGGATCATGTTGTTATTCGCGGTAACACGAGATACCATTTCGTGTTTATGACGAAGAGTGTTTGTAATCATCATATTATCATTATCATCTGAATAAGAAGATGATTCATTGCCCCAATTTACATCATATTATCATCATCATCATCTGAATAAAAAAATGTTGAATTTCCAAATATGAAATTCTTTGAAGGATTAATAATGTGGGGAAAGAAAAATATGTTAATATGTTTGAATAATTAGAAGTGTGTTGACATGAGCATAACATATGCATTTTATAATAATGCAAGAGATGTGAGAATCTCTGCTAAGAGTTATCATTTGAGAGGTATCAGAATCTTTGCAGCGAGTTATCAATTTCGGGTCAATACATTTAGAAGCATGTGAATCTTTGCAGATAGTCATGGGTTAGGACATTAAGAAGCATAAAGATGTTTGCAAAGAGTGTTCGTTTTTTAGATCACCGAGAGACATGAGAATATTTGCAGAGAGATGTCATTTTTGGGCCAGGGCATTGACAGACATGAGAATATTTTCTGAGAGTGGTCGTTTTCGAGTGAGGGCATTGAGTGTGTGAGACCTTTGTAGAGAGGTGCTATTTTTCACCATTATAAAAGAAGATATGGCGTTAGTATGATTTACTACATCCTAACATTTTATTTCTATAGAATAAACATCGATCACATCGTAAATGAAGTTATCCTCTTATGTCAAGTTTATATGGACATTTGTCTGGACCCTATTGTTGGGTTTTGACAATTATCTTCTCAACTTTGGTCGCTTTAATGAAGAAAAACATAAGCATTGGGAGATTCATACCAAGAGATATATGTAGGCACAAATTCGTACAATTAAAAGGTAGTCAAGAGACTATGTATAAATAAAAGAAGTAGAAGATATACATCAAAGTAGTACTTTGAATAAAGATATAGTGAGTTTATATATATATGTGTGTGTGTGTGTGTGTGAGAGAGAGAGATCTATATTAACTATAATTAATTATTTTTAACAAGTCATAGATGCACAGAGCAAAGTGTTGTTCAAGCATAATCTTAGATTCAAATCAGGATTATATATATTCATACATAATCTTAGAATTGGAAATGATGTTGTACACTGTAAACAGAATTGGAAATGAACAACACATAATCTAGTAATATCAACACCACATAAATAGAGTTACAATAAACAGCCAAAATGGAGCCATCCAACTGAAGATGAACAGAACAGATCACTAAAAAAAGAACAAAAGAATCATCAAATGATGGTCCTTGCCTTCGACTAATCCAAGGAATATTTGGCAACCCCCCCAAAAAAATCTGCTTCTGGATTCTTCTAGAAACACGAAACAATGACACTCGAACCAACTAAACATAAAAAATCTCACACAAACTATACATCATATTTCTTCGGTTGTCTCCATTGAGCAAGACTTCTGGACAATGAGAGAAGGAACGAATAATTGCTCGTAGCTCCTTTCCTTCCATACAAATGCTTTCCTCCTAAATCCGTGAACTTTGGTCCCTTATCCTTGCTTCTTTCAATCTGCATTACCAAACGCATGTAAATGACTTTGCGGCATCTCTTCTATGTAAACAGTTCTCCTAATGTAAATTGTTATAATATTGGCCACAAGCGAACTTTAGTACTAAAAATAGCTATTGAAAAAAAAAATAAAAAATACATTACCGTGTGTATCTTGCCATCCTTCAAATGATAACGGATGCCCGACCAATTGATAGATTGAGAAAAATGTGACCTCATTGCAGATATTGGATACAGAAAATTATCAACCAGCATTGCCATAAATACCTGCTCAATTGACAATTTATTCCATTAACATAGCAAACTAGATAAATCAGATAATCTTTTCCTCAAATAAAAACCACCACATCAATATTTCTTCTTCCAAAAAAAAAAGAACTGAAAAAATAAGAGCTAATACTTACTGGGGTGTACGTCAAAGAAATAGAAAAAAGAAAAAAAAAAAAATAGACTTACGAGACACCAGTTGTAAGATGCAAGTGACATTGGAGGAGCCTCTGGAGATAACAGGTTGCATAGCTGAACCTCTATTCTTGTCAGATTCCACATGGACAGAAGTTCAATAACAGTACATGTCGCAAGGCAACCAGCCAATAACAACCCTGACGAGTGAAAAAAAACAAGAAAAAATTCATAATTAACAAAAAAACATTATTGTGTCAACATCATGTTTAACTAAACGACCCCTTCATAGGATGTCTGAGCCTGACTGGAACTAAAAGTGAATGATAAGATAAATTTCTTATCCTAGAAATGAGAAAAAATAAAAGGTGGAAACTGAAAGTTCGAGAAAGAACTCAATTTACTATACTGGTCACTACTTAAAATGAAACACGTAGAAACAAAAAAGTGTGGTGCTTGTGTTTTGAGCTCAACAATACAAATTGCTGGTATTCCAATAACAAAATCCTGCAACTATATACTTATATACACACACACACTACACCAATTGATTTACAGACAAATGATACCGACCAGTGTATGAGAATGGTGCTTCATCAAATGAGTATCCTTTGAAGTAAAGTCTCAGTGCCGCTGCCAAATGTATCCCAGACATAATATATGGAGCTACAAATCCCCATGATAAGTAGCAGTGGGTAGAGAATAGCGCCCTGTTCATAATCCAGTTGACTTTTGTCGTGTATGACTCCAGAACAAATGTTTGCTTCCTTAAATAATTCCAATACCTACAAGGACATAAATAGAAAAAGGCTTGGAAAGTATCTTCCTGAAGAAGTAAACGGACCAATTTGGAAACTCTCGCTTTACTTGTTTTACTTCTTTTATTTCATTTTCTTTTAATCTTTCTCATCCTTTGGAAATGAATGGCCAGTTTTATTATATAGAGATCAATTCCAGCAACATTTTTGTGAAAAACCTGCCAAAGCTAAGATCACTCGCAAGCGGATGGGGAAAAACAGCCACTGGCGGTGATGTGATGAGTCTCTTATGAGCCCCTGAAATGAATAAAAGTTAACAAATTAAAGTGCATTCAGCTCAACACCCACAAAATTCCAGAAGTTAAAAGCTGCAATGACCTAAGGGAACAGACAAGAGAAATATGATGAGGCTTAATATTTGGGGTCATTAAGCACCAATATATACTTTAATTTAAGATAGGCAGAGAAAAACCATTTACCCGCAATAGCTGCAAGAGTCATGTCATCTGAATAGCCCCCATCTCGAAGTTCTGAAACAACACCATGACGATCTGTTCTAAAATCATCTGCATGCATCTGCAATTAGAAAACCGATAAATAAGATTCTTGTAAACATACAAACAAATTGATCTCTAAATCCTTAAAATACTTACCATCATGCACCCTCCCCACAAAAAGAATGTTTTACCGCCAGTAGCAAACCCCATCGAACAAGGCTGCATTATAGTAAAGGAAAAAAGAACAAATAAAAAAATTAAAGACAAAAGAATTTAATATAATTCACATTATAACGTTAAAATGACCAAAATGAGAAAGTTGGTTAGCATGGCAGGTTGGACATGTCAGATGTCAGTTCTTTCTATCTTCCTTCAACAATTCAGATTTGATATGGGAGGTTAGAGATCTCTTTCACACTCTCCTTTCAATAATGTCAAAAGCTACTGATGTGAAATATCAAGGGCAATAATACTGAAATTTTCTCACTCCTAGTAAGTAAAACAATGGATTGAAAAAAAAGTAAAGATCAGGAATCATAATTTCCAAATCAACTTCATTCACCATTGAAATTGTCGCGGTTGCGCACTGAGGGAAGAGGAGTTGATGGACAATTGGCTAATGTTTTACTTTAGGAAGCAAACAAGTTTATCTATCTTATAAGGTCCACACTATGCTAAGATAATCTTTTTCCTGAACCTCAATCATACACGGGAATTGACTTGAGGCATCTCACCTTCTACCAACTCATAATAGTGACACCAATATATTGTGCTAGATCCACATGGACAATTGCCACATTGATGCAGTTATTAAAGTCACCATATCAAATACGGTCGCAATTTGCATACTGAATAATGCTAGAAGTCAAGAATGATGACTTAGGAAAGCCTTTAAGCTGTCTATAAGAATATATAACACACCATATGATATTCGTATATGCAGTAGCTCCCTAAACTTCCAGATGGTAAATCAAGGGGATATCCAGTCTGAATGAATATCTGCACATTCTCAGGGGCAACAAATCAAGATTTATTAATATTAAAATTAGAAATAAAAATGAAGAATATCAATTACAATTTACAAAGATAACTAAACTAAAATATACTGTAATAGAAATAATAGCATACGTCTGGGTTCTTATCCATTTCAGCAGTGAGGGCTCCAATTGAGCCCGGATGAAGCCTAACATCATCATCAAGAAATAAGACATATTTGCTATCTTTATGCATTTTCTGTACTCCCACCTGCAACATGTAACGTTACACATTAAAAGCAACATCAAACCAGATACTCATACGGATGAATAAGAAGCAATATCCAACTGTTTCATCCTATGTTCAATAGTTTATTGTATGTGAATAGGGTCTTCTCGAAAATTAAAAATTGAAAATTTGAAGATGACATGATTTGGGTAGAGTTATAATTTTGTAGAACTCTTTTAGAAATTAAAGATGCACAAACTTATTTATGATGTTAAAAAGACAGTTATTTAGTAACTTATAGAAATTGATGCTACTAATAATTACACCAATCTTTGATACAACATTCATGGCTTCTTTTCTGCATAGAGATCCTTCATTCTGTAAAGCAGTAAAGCCTCCATAAAGATATACTGGACAATCTATTGAACAAGGTTATCCAAACTCTAAAATAATGAAAGAGATTTACAAAATTTATGACTTATATGTGTAACACACATTGGAAAAGTGGAATAACGAGGCAGGTACAATTCTTGGAAGTAACCAAACTATACTAGAAAGAGGAAGTTAAATAAAATATTTTAAGAAATCACTAAAATTAATATTATACCAACTGATTATGTATCTTCTGACTACAAGTTGTTGACAGGCCAGCTACAATAATTTTGGCATCAACCTCATCCTGCAAATTTGAAAATGTTCATGAGACAGGTTCCTTGAACCTATAAAGTTTTATAGTTAATAAGAAAAACAGAATATCTATGTAAGTCAAAACTTGGTGAAGGTGATAAATTTACTGCACCACTGGACACACAGCTTATGGTTGGAAGCTTGAAAAAACGAAATAAAACTATGTTATACCCCTATCGTAATAAAAAGTGCCAGTTTAAATAATAAAGAACATTCCTTGTTCGCACTTTAAATATACAAGGAACAGCATAGCTTTTTCATGAACAAAAAACAGAACCAAGCATAAAAATTTATATTATGTTGCCAAAAAAATTTCTCATTTTTTCATTTTCCTACAGCTCTTTAAATCATGAAACTTTTTCCAAATACTATGACCTATTTTTTTGTAAACTTCAATATCTTCTCCATAATGATCCTCAAACAAGGTTAACTCTCCTCATTAACACAGTCATAACAGATCCATATGAAACGACAAGAACTAAAAGGAAGAAAAAGGACATCCGAAGAACAAACAGACACAAAATTATTCTAAGCTAATGGGTTCTAACCACAAATAGTGGGAAACCCAATCATCAACCATAAACAAGGAATCTATCTTACCTCGAAATCCTTTAACAATAGAGAGATGGCATGGTAAGCAGGGTCTACTGTACTTTCAACCACAAAAAGAAATTCTATTGGACCACCATATAAAGATGTAATCTGCAGCATTCATAAAGAAGAGCATGTCAGACTTAAAATTTCAAGTTTTCCACCATTTATAATCTGGACTAATAGAGTTTGTAAAATCCTAAAAGAAAAAAGGAAAGTATAATGCTAAACCATTAGCCAGTCATGATTTTTAAAGAAGTCTGCCTGTTCTGGTTTAAAACTTGTTCTAGAAATTTGTTCTACCAATCTTATTGCAAATAGAAAAACAGAAAACCACAAGGTAAAGCATAGTTATCCAAGAAAAAAAAAAAAAAGCGCAAGACCTTCTGGAGAGTGGAGACCAAGGTGCAAAGAGGGGTGCATCATGCAATCAAAGGAGGAAACATGAATATAATAATAACAATAACAACTAATAAAAATAATAGATTTAATCTTACAGTACCAGCATGCTCATGAAAAAAAAAAAAAAAAAACTAGTGGTATCAAAATTTCTGAGCTTATTAGTGAGTCATGACCAAAAAATAAAACAACCCACAAAAACGTTACAGCTAATAAATACAGTGTCTGGGAAAACAATGATTTTCACCTATAAACCTAATAACATATAAAGTTTCTTGAGCTTCAGAGAGACACTTTTACGAGCTTTTAAAAGACAAGAAATAGATTAATGGGAGACAACCAAGATTAACACTATATTATAATATACTCCCTCTGTTTCAAAAATATAAGTTTAAGACACTAATCACATGGTTTGAGAAAGCACAATACCGTGCTATCTTTTTGGTACACATCAAAATGGCTCAATTAAATTCTAGTGCTTCTTCTATTAGTGAAGTTTCTAGAAAAAAAAAAATATATCAAATGACGCAATGCACCTTGGGTCGCTACGGAAACAACCTCCTTGTATAATTACAAGGGTAAGGTATGTGTACAACTGATCCCCCAGACCCCAACCAGTTGGGAATATACTGGGTATGTTGTTGTTGTTGTTGTTACGTAGAAATGTGGACTATTTTAACAAAGAGAGTAGTTTGTTTAGAGCCAGTAGCATAATATTACCCAATACGATACTCTTGTAGTTAAAGAAATGTGCATGGCTACAGAAGTTAACTCAATCTACCGAATTTCCAAATAATGATGTAAAATGTGAGATACAAGTGAACCATGTTAAATTTCCTATTTGTCTTACATGCATTATGGAATGGAAGCCTGCATGGCTACAGTAGTTAATTCAATAAGTTGAATTTTCAAATAACGATGTTAAAAATGAAGTACAAGTGGACCATGTTGAATTGCCTATTCGTCTGAGCACCAGACTTTCAATAATATTTCACCTGACTTCTCCAGTTATGTAGATTGTGTTCCCCATATCCCTTCAAAGGCATAACAACTGAAACCCTTGGCAAATTGACCTGATTAGAGTGCTCAAGGTCATTAATATCACAACAAAGAAAAGCAAAGCTATTTCCTTTTTCTGTGCTTTCCTTTATCTTTCTTATCTCTTTATTCCTGCAAAACAAATGATGCGAAATTTGTTAATGATGATCGCAATAACAAGCTATGGCAGAACATAATCAATGTAATAGAGCAGCAGAAAAGCTATTATGTATGGACCAGTGAATTCCATTACCTGACATAAGAAGCTAAAGCCCAGCCAAGAGCAAGGAGTAAGCAAATGAAAAATCCCTGCAATTGGAACAAAAGATTCAAGCAATGTCAAATCTGGCCATGTAAAGTAAAATATTTCGTAAGTAAAACAATGCTTGACACAAACAAATTTCTTATTTTAATTGCCACTATAGAACTAGAAGCATATACAATCAAGTATAGACCATAACCAATTTGCAAGAAGCTGGGGTGGCCACCCAACTTTCTTACTTTGGGTGACAGGGAAATAAGAGAGGTGTAGACTTGCCTACTTCCACGCCAACAGATTTATATTATGCAATTCTATAGTAACAGATAATCAAGATACAAGACAGAGTTTCGCTTTCTGCACACTTTTTTTAAAGATCAGGATTTTACAAAGATCTTATCTGCCAAATGCCCACAAGAATCAGAAATATGAAGTGTGTTGAGCTATTTTCCAAAAACAACAAAAACAATAGAAACCACCTATTCTACTCTTCGGCAACGGATACACCGATTTTAGGAGTGATAAAAACTGCAGATGTAAAAACTAAATCGAGTAAATGACAATAAAAATAGAAAAACTCAAAAAACCCATCGCCAATCTTGATGGTTTGAATTATTCAAATTATCAGGTGCATCGGTTAAATGGATCCTATCGAAGATTATGAATTTTTCAGCCTCTTAGCTGCAATCCATTACAGATATTAGGATACTTTGCAAGCGAGACGGACTATTCAACTACTATACCATGTCTCCTCAACACAGTGCCAAAACCCATAGTTCAAAGCACCTTCAAGTTGTAACTAAATATCCATAGACCAAAAAAAAAGAGAAAAAAAAACATCTTTTGAATCCCCCTTAACTGCATATCATTTCAGGATCGCAACGGTTAAACATCCCCCATCATTTTCAATACAGCAAAAAATTAAGACTGCTTTATCCATAGTAAATTGGTTCATGTACCCGAGCCTCATTAGATCTAACAGAAGGACAAAATTAACAAATGGCCCATCAAATTTGGAACAAAACCCAAAACCAAAAATAATAATAATAAAAAAAAATCTTCAAGCCACTTTGATTTGAGCTCTAATAATAACAATCAAAAGCAGCACAACAGCCAACCAGCCAAATGACGTATCCGTTCCATTCAATAACACTAAGGGAGCAAAAACACACGTATTAGCATTGCACATTTTCATAGTGCGGCCAAAAAAAATAAAAAATAAAAATAAAAAAATCTGCTGTTTGCTCAGTTGTCGACATGAATACGAGAGAAAGATTTTACCTGGATCTGAATAAAAAGCGCGATAGGGCTACAGCAGGCATTGCTGGCCGCCAACAAGAACGCATCGAACGAATCAAACGACGGCATTTCGCCTGAGATATCCGTGACTTGAAAAATCCAATCGCCCACCCCAATTCCCTTGCCGTGGTTCTCTGTAATCAGGCGGAGAAAGAGAATTAGACGAGGCCAATGCTTCGCCAAATCTCCCTCCCTCTCTCTGTAATCTCTCTCTCTCTCAGTCTCTCTCTCGTGGTCAGATCGCCATGTATGTATGTATGGAACAGAAAGCAAAACAAAAAAACACAGCTGGACAGAGAGAGAGATGAAAGGGGAAAACGGGTTAGGAGAGAGAGAGAGAGAGAGAGAGCGTGGTTTTTATACAGCGATATATTCCTAATGATTTAAATTAGAGAGAGAAAATTAGCAGTTCATTTCATTTTCATTAGATTCGATAGAGAGAGAATTTGAATGGGGGCAGCGGGTCCCACGTGTGAGGTGGCACTTGCGGAGTGGTGGGCTTTGTTAATAATGTAGAGTGAGAGGGAATTGCGCTACACGATCCGATTCTTATTTCATTGCCAATTTTCATCATTTACACCATACCATCTATTTGAAAAAAAAAAATCTCACGTTCTACCGTCCCCGTCGTTATTTATAACTGTTAGATCAACTATTTATGACGTTTACATGATGATCTAATGATTATAAATTCAACAGAATGGTATCGTAATAAGACTGTAGCATTTTCTCATGTTTTATTTAGTAATAATTTTTCTTAAATTCAAATTGGAGATTAGATTTAGTAAAAAAAAAAAAACAGATAAACTAACATTTTTTTTCTAGAAAGACTTTATTACTATATGCACTCATATTATAGATTAAATATTCTTTGTCAACAACTCATAGATTATTTGACATAAAAAGCAAAAACTAAATAGATTGTTCCTAAATATAAATGATTCCAAATAAGGTGATTTTAAAATTTTAAATGCATAACATAATTCACAAAATCTATCAATATTTAAATCCATTTCAAACTTGCCTATCACAATTTATTTATTTATTAGATGTTTTTTTCTACCAAAAATAAAACATTAAGAATTAGGTCATTTTTCAAGAAAAATAAACAAATTAATCAAATCTATCACAATTTCAAACATTGCATATTTACCAATCAGAATTTACCCTATATGTATTTTATAATCGAGTTTTAGCACATAAATCTCTAATCACTAATTCAAGTTTATGTTTTGTTTCAATTCTATTATTATTATTCCTCTGCACTCCCTAACTACATTTAGTTGTTCAAGTCAACTACATATAATACCGTATTATAATTATGAAGCATAAAAAAATTGAAAATGACAGAGGTCGTACCTCTCCCCCACGTCAATGTTTCCCCTTTGGAAGAAAAGGACTTCTCCGTCGATGAGTTGCCAAAAGTTGACACAGTTAGCTGGAATTCCCTCTTCGATTTCTTCCAAAAGAATTCCATTACGCTGTCGACGAAGCCGTCAGTCACAACGAACTTATCTCGTCGTCTCCGTCATTTTAAAAACTGTCGATTCTTCTGCTTTCTTTTTTCTCTCAAGATGTAGAAATTGTTTTCAACTCATCTCATATTCTTTCATTTGCAGGAATCACTGTTCAAAAGATGCAGGGAAGAAAATGTTGTCGTGCCACACAAACTATTGGATGGAAGGAGTCACTAAATTTGAACTTTCCGCCGCCATATGAAGGGAAGAGTTCGCCAACCTAGAAAGTGTTGGATGACAGAAGTGCACGCATTCAACCATATATATTAAAAAATATAAAGTGTTTTGACTTGATCTTACCACCAACATACGAATTACATAAGATTTTTCATTTGCAAGTATCAATCTAATTATATTGTATTAGCTATTTATAATTACATGTATAATTTAGTATATGTACAATTAATATATTTATAATGTATTCTTTTTTTTTTCTTTTATCACAAGGAGTGTTGTTGAATAGAAAGATTGGGAAGCACGATAGGTTGTGGCTTGACCTGAAATGTCCACTAATTTATTAAGGATTCATATTTGACCCAAGAATATGAAAAATCTTGTCAAATGTTGCATGTGGATAGTCAAATATTAAAAATATTGCTTCCAAAGCTGTCCGAAAAAAGGATACATGTATGGCGCTGATGTTTGGTTGTTGTTTTTTATGTGATTGAAATGTTTGGTTGTTTTTTATGTGATGGAAAGTTGATTTGCATATGTAAATTATGTTCGATAATGAACAACACCAGTTGTTTTGCTATTGTTTTGATCTTAATTTATATCCTTTTATTTTTGTAAATGGTTATATATGTAAAATATAATGTATTCAGAGGTGCAACCACTAAGGCATAAATTCAATGTACTGAATTTTGGATTTGCTGAATAATAATAAAAATAATCAAAACATAATATTTCATTACAAATTTGGTATATAACTTTTTTAATATGAGTAACTTTTTTTTTTTTTTGGTATTTAACTTTTAATATGAGTAACTGTTTTTCTCTCATTTTCTTTTGTTAATGATATGTTTGCTAATATAGGTACATTAGAAACAAAATAGGTACATTAGAAACAAAACGAACTTTTACAAAAATCGTAGCTAATGATATAAATTAGGAACAAACATCTTTATTTTTGATTCGACTGTTGGTACTAAATATTAGAAATAAATATATCAGCTATAGATTTTGTTGCTATTACTCTACTATTAGAAACGATTTTGTTTGTTGCAAAATCGTTGCAAACAGTAACGAACTGTTTTCTGTTTCTGAGCATTAGCCACCCTGCTTTCTCTAAACAATTATTTATTTATTTATTTATTTATTTATTTATTTATTTATTTATTTATTTATGTTGCATATTAGTAACAGAAAATGACCCTTAAGAAACCATAATTACCGTTTCTAAATCTCTAATTTCTAGTCGCAATAGGACAATACCAATATAGTAATCATGTACATATATATGGTCATTTAGTCTTGATTGTTCTGAATAAAAATGACTAACTACTGTAATTTAAGTTTTGAAAATGGATATCAATATTCATTCAAATAGTACAAGTCATGTAGTCAATCAGTACTTCGATATGGTTATTTAGTACCAACTTTTTGGAACGAACAAAAACCTGTTATAAATCGATAACGGTGTTGTAAAACGACATTACCTAGTTTGGCTTTCTCTAGTACCCATGTAGTAGTATTTCATACTTAACTTTGATGAAGGAACAAGAATTATTTTACCTAATAATATGTTTAGTAAACTGATATTGGTGTTGCAAAAGGATGATACCAATTTTGACTTTCACAAATACTCATGCATTGGCAATTAGTACCAACTTTATTGAACGAACAAAAACATGTTATAAATGATATTGGTGTTGCAAAAGAAGACTACTTGGTTTGGCGTTCTCAAGTACCATACATGAGTTTTTAATACTTATTTCATAGAAGGAACAAGAATTGCTAACTTTGATGAAGGAACAAGAATTATCTTAATTAATAATATGTTTAGTAAACTGATATTGGTGTTGCAAAAGGATGATACCAATTTTAACGTTCACAAATACTCATGCATTGGCAATTAGTACCAACTTTATTGAACGAACAAAAACATGTTATAAATGATATTGGTGTTGCAAAAGAAGACTACTTGGTTTGGCGTTCTCAAGTACCATACATGAGTTTTTAATACTTATTTCATAGAAGGAACAAGAATTGCTTGTACATAATGCAAAAGCATATAAAAATCAAGCATCAGTCATAAAATTCATGCAAAGCAGTAGTAGTAAACATCAACTTGTACTTCATACTTTGTATGTATTGTAGCACTACATGCAAAATACTCATATAGTACATACTCAAAATATGTCGATAATGTGTCATCAAAAAACATATTCTGACATTTACAAAATACACCTGACAAAAAACAAAAGCCCCTTAAATCTAGTAGACTAAACAAAACACAAAATACACCTGACAAAAAACAAAAGCCCCTTAAATCTAGTAGACTAAACAAAACACAGTGTAGTGATATAAAAATATGTTCTTTGCATGTACGTCGATTGTGTCCATGACTACCACAACGCTTACACCGTCTAACCACAACATCAACTCGTGATCGGATCCTATTTTTCCTCTCGTGTTCAGGCAGATGTCGTACATTCGAGCACGATTGACATTATCATGTTGTAAAGAAGTTATATTACGATTATAGTTAGATATAGGATTAACTGTACTCTGATAAACTTCTCTATACATCCGAGCCGAGCAGAGCAATGCTTGTTTAATTTAACATCACTACTCACAAACAAGATTGAGAAAAAAAAAACCGAAAAACTAAATTACAAAACTCATAAAGTACTTACCAACGGAGGAACTTATTCATTAAATCGGGAAGTGAACAACATTCAAATGCCTCTCAGATCAGATCCCAGACTGATTTTCAACTCTCACAGAGATTCAAATTCAACATTCCGATGATTGAACGGTTAACCAAATCGAGCTGTTGCCAAGTTCGAAAACAAACCCAAGCCCCGGCACTTTATTCCCACACTACACCAAACAACGTACCATCTAAATCTACGACTAGGGGCTCACATATTATACGCTAAATACGAGAAAATATCCGGCCAAAACAAAGAACGAAAAACAAAAGCGAATATCTCATCAATATTCCTCGGCTTGAATGTATTGGGAATGAGAGGCTGCCAAGAGAGCAGCCCCAATACCCGAGCCATCATTCGAGAGCTCGAGCACAACCCCATTAGCTGCTCCTTCTCCCAGTAGCTCCTTGAGAGTAGCGTCCATACAGTTCCTAAATTTCGTGTAGTGCTCGAACAACCCACCGTCCACTGCCACCACAGACCTCTCACTGCTGCTCGTGTCCCTATCGAGCTTCTTCAGAATTCCGAGGATGCCAGCAGCCGCGAGCCGGGCCCCGCGCAAGGCCACAACGTCGCATATGGCCACAATCATTTTCCTCATCTTCAGGGACGAGCTAGGCACCTATCAACGAACGAAAATCGATTAGTCGTTACAAAAATGATTTAAAATTATTTTTATATTAAATGTACTTTTTCATAAGAAAGAGAAAAAAAATCTCTAACTAGTCTAGTCTACTCATGTCGTTTCGATCATTGTTATATATCTAAAAAAAATATAATTATGAGAATGGGCTGAACATGAGGATGAACTCCAGTCGGAAAATAAATTACAAGAAAATGAGATGGAATTTGCCAGAGTATGGGCTGGATTTAGTCTCATCTCAATGGTAGGGAAAGAAAAATCAAACTAGGCTAAAATTTTAAAATTTGACTACAGTTATAATTTTTTTTTTGGGGGGATAGGATGAGATTATTACCTCCAAGATGTCCTTTAGCTTGCTCCCGACCACCCTGAGATCAGATGAAGTGTCGTGATGCATGGCAGACATGTCTGGGGTCCTGCATTGTGAAAAACTCAACTGTCATGCGGATGTTTATACAGTTAACTTGCATTGCAAGCAAAAGAGAGGTTGAGCCTAAAAACCCCATGAATATACAAAAAAAGTCAATATATCATCCTGAATGGCAATCATGATAACTATGTATATATATATTGACTTCTAAACTATGCTACCTGGACTCGGATCTGGGTGGCGTATCGGATGTGGAGATATGAGCGTCCGACTCGTCAATAGTTTAGAAATCTTGAACATTTTAGGCTAAAATGCCACACCCGACACTCATACCCACACCAGTGTCGACACAACATGACACGGGTATTCTTCCTAAATAGAAGAGTCCGGGTAACATAGCTTCTAAAAAGATTCTCACAAATGATTTAATCAGGTGAAATTTTCGCTGGGGTTTAGAGAGGCATGCAAAGATACTGAGTCCTTTTTTTTGTTTTCCATCATTCGGATAATAATGCATGAGAAGACTTGGTCCATCTCAAGTATATGTGTCAAACATTATTGTTTACCTCAATATGAAGGGAATTTTCAGTTTTGGTGGGATATTATCTCCGAAAAAGCACGCCTCCTCTGCCATCCTGCACAAAACCCTACGAACAATTTCCCCCAGATACATGCCAGAAATAAGTTTCTCGAAAATCTGCAATAAAAACACACAAAAAATATTGGGCATCAAATGTAACCAAGACTTAATATCATGATAAAGAGAGAGCATTGAGTCACCTGTTCTCCAGGGTTTAAACTCTCAGCATCAAGACTCAGATCATACTCCGTAAGCGGTAGATGTGATGACCGAAAATTACCCCATTCCATGTTTATAACCTCCAATAATAAGGAATTAATCTCCGTCAGATTACAATTTTTATTCTGAAAATTGCCCCAACTGAAGCTACATATAAATTACTGACCATCTCTCCCGATTTAGGTAGCAAACCCTGCCATTTAGGAATTGCATGTGCACGTTCGACATAAGCTGCATTAGTTCCCGTTCCGAGTATAACAGCTGCAACCACATTCGGATTGTCATACCTTCCACCGGCTAATGTCCCGACAGTATCGTTGACCTGAGAAAAAGATCTTCTTTATTTAGAGACGAGTCATGTACGGACTTTTCACAAAATATTAGTGAAGAAAAAATAAACTGTAGAAAAAAACAGAAAACATTCTAAAACAGGGACATTAAAACTAAAAAACACAAAAAAAAACTAAGAAACCTAACGAAAAAA